TTGGTGGTGTGGGGATGAGAGCAGTGAAGGAGGTGACAGTTATGCGTAGAGCACCAATCCACAGGTAAAATTCGTGGCCAAATTTATTTGTTTTATGCACCAACTTCCCTGCTTTGTAGTCACCTCGCTACTGTCAAGGTGTAACAGGCTTCAGCCTAAACCTTTCCAACACCACTCACTCACACTTCCATGGCCATCGCGGTGAGTTGTGATGATGGACGATCAGTGTTTTGAGGGCAAAAACACAAGCATCTGGTGGGTGTGTGGGAGGGTGAGGTGGTGTGCATTACCTCCTCATACAGCACCGAATCTTCATCGTACTGGGTGCCCTTTGGCAGTGCAGTGAAAATGATGAGAGAACGACCAGCAGCTCTTGTGGGTCCAACCCGTGCCAAATGGGATTGTCATTGTCGCAAGACATCGTAGGTGAACATGTCCGTAGGATCCAAGTGGAGAAGTGCTAACCTTCCTCGCCTAATGTCGACAGAGTTCTGAATGTCCTTCATGAAGTTAACTACCAGTGCCGCTCTTGCTAGTATCAGTACCACTACAAAGAGGAAGGCTAAGCAAGCCAATGCGGAGAACAAATAGCCCACCGCAAATTGAACCTAACCACCTACCATCCAATTGACCTTCGAATTGTTGCCATAAGCTCGTAAAGTTTGTCGTCGATTTGATACCTACACTGGTTAAGAGTCGAAGCGCGCTATAGCTGTTTTGAGAGAGGTGAAGTGTGGATAAGATTGAGTTGAGCGTCTCCGGGATGTCAGGAATGGTGGTGTAGATATCGTAGAAGGTGGCAATGCGTTTCCAGCCCTTGCTGATGAGGTAAACGAGGACGCCTTGTAGAATGGTCTTGCGTTGAACCATTATGGAGACGGCAGAGATGGGTGGAGCGAGGCTGTCACGATCGGTGTTGGGAAAGTAGTTGACGAAGAGAGAAGTGGAACCCAGTACTTGACAGCAATAAGAAATCTGGTACAGTTGAGCCCTTTGCTGCACGTTGGGGTCTCCGATGTTCATCCACTCGTTCACCATGTTGCAGTCACTGGAAAAAGGAGGTCCCAGCAACACGCTGAAACCTTTTGAGCTGGACGCCTTTTCCTGAGATTGCAAAGCAATCGAGTTATGAGATTTTGGCAGCCCCTTTCAAATCAACTCCTTCACCGCACCTCCATGCAAAGCATGGTTTTATTTGCTTGGAAGTGTAACCAGGAAAACCAATGTGGTGTGCACTGGGTCAAATATTCGCGCTGCCCGACTTCAACCGTTGCATTCCTGTCTAGCAAACTTTTGAATATTTGGAGTAGTGGATATAACAGCGTGGATGAACACGATCCAGTGTGACATGACAACAAAAGACTCAGTCATGAATATCAATTTACTGTCCAACTATCAAGTGCTTGCTGCTACCACGAATCATTTGTAAGGGAGGAGAAATAAGATGGGCAACTCGCTGTTCCTACAGTTCCCGACTAGTGCCATTCCACCGGTTAATCTTTAGCTCCTTTGATCCCCATGATGGCATGCATTCCTGATTAAGCAACAATACACAGCTATAAATGCGGCGCGTCCCTGACCAACCTCGCACCTACGCCCCAAAAGGACTCTAAAGTGTCACAGTATGGGAAATCTCACTGCAGTTTGCATAAATGAATAGGAATTGGAAAGAGCACTGTGAGGGTTGATGAAACGACCGCTATCAGTTATGCCGACACACTCCCTTCCAAGCCGCCTGAATCTGTCTGTAATGTGAAATGACTCCCGCGTTACAAAGGCCAGAGACTGACAGTCTTAATAAAGGTGCAGACAGGAAAATATTTGGCCAGGGTTAAACACCTCGCACCGAGTGGCTGACTGCTAGTACCCATGCAATGGAAGTTAGAGTGAGGATGCGGTAAAACATTGGGGGGAGGAGGGGAGGAGAAGAAGGAGAGTGAGTGCAATGGGCGAACCACATTCACAAAAGCAGCTGACCAAGCGTCTACAACTTCTCCCCATCTTCATGCTGAATGCGATGTTGTGGGAGGACGTTGCGGTGCCTCACAATCCCACGACACGAGTTAATGCTGTGTTGCACAAGTAAGCAAACGTGTAAATGTCATGCAGAACACTTCTTTTACCGTCTCTAACCAACCTGTAGGTGTTGCAGAACTCGAAAAATCCAGCCTGCTCTTACGGCCTGCTGCACCAGACAGCCTGGCACCCACAGGTACTCCAACTGAGCAGAGAACAGCGTCTCATTGTCGGAGGGCATCAGGGAGCGCACGTAGCACACAGCTGCAGCAACGCTGTGCGTGAAGTTGTACACCCTCATGGCGTCGGATGAGCAGACAACATCGGTGGTGAGGGTGTAGATGGTGAGAAGATTGCGTACAGTTGACACCTTCCCACTATTTCCACTGCAGGCGCTAAGAGTCGTGGAGAGAAGGAGGAGGAGGAGGGCGAGTTGAAACATCAGAAGAAGTGCAAGATGTCCGCAAAGAACTGAGAAGGTCCAAATTTGGTGTAATTTATACACAATCTTGCAGTGTCAACGCCCCTATTTAATGCAGACAATAACAAAATCGGGGTTCGCGTGACTCCACTGTGCAAAGCTCGCTAACGTGTTTTAATGGCGAAAACTTCCACACCTCATTAAGTCGTCAGTGAGTTTTTTACCACTTTGTAGGGCAGCAATTTACGTGGAATTTGTCCATCCAACATATCACACTCACCGTCGTGGATGTTTTACTGTTCTCCCCTCATGACTTTTTCGTAGTCGCTGCTTACTTAGTCGTGATGGTAAACAGAACGTCTATGCGCAAGTGCACACTCGACAGATGGTTGCGGTTGCAATCCGTCGCTAGCGAAGGTCCCATTCGCCTCGCATGTTAGCAGCAAACATCACCCGACCACTGCTTCTGTTGGAGATTCCAAATCATCCACTCCTTCTGCTCTACTTATGGCTCAACTGATAGCTTTCGCTTACAAGATGGCGATCTTGCAACCCTTTTGATAGCTTCTGTCACACCAAGTCGTTTGCAGTGTTAACAAAACAGCCCTTACAGATGAAAAGACTGTGGAAATAGGTGAGCTGCTCAAACTCACAGTTTCTTGTGTTAGTCGACCCACCTCTCCAGGAAGTGGATAGACACTTGAAACTCTTCTGATAGCCTTATTTCAGTCCCTTTCATCTCTCTTTCTCCCTCCTGCATGCGCCTTTACCGTCTCCTGCTACCTTATTTCCATCACACCACCAAATGTTTCATGTCTTTGTCTATCTGTTCGATTGTCAATCTGGCATTCCTACAAAGATCTAATCTTCCCAATTTTAGTCGCAGCTACTAGAGATGCTCGCACAAAGGTGAAGGAGGCACAAATGGTTTGATGGGGAGGACAATTTGAGATGATGAGTGCAACGCATGACGAACCACTCACGGATTCGCTCCAACATATGCATGTCACAAAAACTTGTATGATCGTAGTCGGAGAGAAGTAAAAAGTGGTTCGTAAGAAGTGGACTGCCTTAAAGTCCTCCCAAGAGGGGAAGCAGTGCACGAGTGACTTAGGGTCGTCGAAGTGTCGGCGAAAGGGGCAACTGGAGCGTTGTTGTTCAAGCTCCCCACACGCGTT